CCAGCCAGCCAAACCACCCCTGAGGGCATTTGGACAAAAAAAAAAAAACCTTATTCCATTAAAACTGGTGCTCTAACCTAAAATCAGCTAACTTTGCCCCTTTCTACTGTAGAAACCAAACTTAAGTGACATTCGTTATTATGTACCTGACACCTGGATAAGTACTTCATATATTTAGTGATTTATGATGAAAATGCATGCATTTCCAATGTCCTGAAATAAAATTTAGTGTAGAAAGCTTTTCTCATAGCTATGATCGAGGTGAAATAAAAAATAGCAATCTTTTCACAAAGCTGACACGTCTTTTAAAGAGAATCATTATTAATTGCCCCTTTAATCTCTAGTGGCCTATTTTTCACTATCATATTCCTTTTCTTCTTTCCTACCTTACACCTTATTTTGACTTTATTTTTACAGTTTGATAGTATGTGTCAGTCCTTCAATTTGTCTTTTTTTTTTTTTTTTTTCCCGGAACTGGGGATTGAACTCAGGCCCTTGTACTTGCCAGGGAAGCGCTTATTCCACTGAGCCATCTCCCCAGCCCTTTTAGTCTTTCAATTTGGTAATGCCTTTTTGGAATCCACTCTAGAAAATACATGAATAAAATGTTCTATTCTGCTCCTACAGTTCTGAGGTGTATATATAGAAATATATAGTTTTATAGATATTTCATAAATATAATATATATGGGGTTGGGTTTTTTTGGTTCTTTTGGTGTGTATTTGGTACAAGGTCTCACTATGCAGCTCAGACTGCCATGATCCAGTGATCCTCCTGTTTTCAGCCTCCCCAGTGCTGGTATCACAGTCATGTGCCACCATGCTGGACTTTCCAACAAGCATTCTGTCATGTTCCTAACATAAGCTATTAAGCCTCAAAGCTCACAATACTTCATAAATGAGATTCACACAGGTTCAGTATTCTTCCTCTATAAGTTTATCAAAATTACAAATAATCTCTTTCTAGCCATTTTCTCTTTTTTTTTCTATTCATGGTGTCCATTTCCTCTAAACATCTAGGCATCTTGCTCCTGATTTACTCTAGTGGTCCTCCCACTAACCCAACCATGAACGAAATTCAAGAATTTACCCTTAGAGGATACAGTAGCTCTTACTCTACTTTTGTATTTGTTTACTAAACACTGTCTTCTCCATTAAATGGTTAAAGGATAAAAATTGTTTCTATGCTATCAATGTCAGGTATACAAAAAGATGCTTTACCAAATTATAGAACCTTCCTAAACCAACTCTTTTTTTTTTTTTTTAAGACAGGATCTCACTATGTAGTGCAAGCTGGCTTGAACTCACTTTTATAGCCCAGGCTGGCTTAAAACTCAGGACAGTCCTCCTTCCTCGGCCTCTCAAGAGCTGAGATTACAGGCTTGCACCACGATGTGTGGCTAAACCAATCTCTATGTAACCAATTTACTAGAATAAGTGCTAACCTTCCCTTCAGTAAAAAAGAACTGAACACTTGAAGCTAGTAGAATACACTCTTTTAAGAAATAAAAAAAGAAATTCATATATTTGCACTCTCAAATTTGTGCATGCTTAAATGAAAATCAATCATCTTCTGCAACTTATTTATACCAATTGTACTAGACACTGCCATTACGTGATTACTACATAAGCAAATGAAATACATTATACAAGTGTGTTATCCTCTTAATATTTTGTTCCAAAAGTTTCACATTGAAA